ACAACCACACAGACTGGTTTGCCAGCTTTTCGCACTTTGCCATTCACTGTAGTTGTGTGGACACTTCGTACATTCTCTGTACCGACCATGTCTCGTATGCGACCTTTGACCACATCTCGACTTCGTTCGTCCGATGCATTGATCTCTTGTACCTCGTATCCTGCTTGCCGAGCGCATACATGAGCTAGCGTTGTTTTTCCCAGTCCTGGAGGCCCAGTCAAAAGCAGAACCTTGCGATGTCGCTGCTCCTCCTCTTCAAAGTGCTTCTTCGCACCTTTCGACTTCACTTTGGCCACACCAGGGAAGACAATCGGATCCCAGGCCTTGAGCCAGCGAAGAACTGATCGATGTGTTCGTTCGTCTCCAACAAGGTCTGTGAACTTTTTCGCTCGGTATTTCTCAGTCCACATTAGGGTGCGATTGCTCTTGCTGCCTTTGCTAGCCGATTGTTCGATAGACTGGTGTGGTGGTTCTTTAGGTGTCTGTGCTTTGTTCACTGCCTTCTCAAGATCCAGCGCTTTTGCTTCGTCCATCAATTCGTGGATATTGAGCCCATAGTAACTTGTCCTCGCCTTTCCTGGTACAGCCACTGAGCGGGCTGCGATGAGCTGTTCGTAGGTAGGAGCGTCTTTATTTATTCTCTTCGGTATATAAATCGCATTCCCTGATGAGTCTCGTGCGATCGTACCAGACATGGGCTGTGCTGAGGTGGGTTCTTTCGCTGTATGCGGCCGCTTTACAGGTGACTGTGAGGCTGATTTGAAACTGTATTTGTCAAGCTCATCCACGGGTATGGACTCAGGGTTCGCATATTCGTCTTGGCTCGCAGGTGGTGTATATTCGGTGAAACTTTCTGGTAGTTCTGGTAGATCCTTAATGCTGCTAACCGCTCTCCTCTTCAGTGCATGTTCTTTCAGCGCCGCAAGTTCTTCTTCGTCGTCCGAATCATCCACGAAAGCGCCTCGCTTGTGTGACGCATTGTGATTCGGTAAATCTTTCATGGGCTCGCGGGCCTCTTCTTGACGCTTCCTTTTCTTCGGTGAGGGTGCTTGTGGCATTGATGAGCTGGGCGGATATGCGACTGGTGATGAGATAAGCGGCATTTTGTATAACGGTGGTGAAGAAGGCAAAATAACTTCTTCGGTGGATGAAGCCGTCGCAAACCGCTTCGCTGGCGCTTGCCGCGATCGTTTTACTGGCGTGTCTGAAGGAATTAGTTGCTGCAGCGGTCCGGGCTCGCGTTGGAAGTACCAATGGTAACTTCTCCTTCACTTCGGAAAACGTCTGAGATTTTCCAAGCGCGGTGCTGTATGACAATTCCTTCGCGAGTCTTCTTGGTGGTGTCGTCGACTATGCACTGCTGCAATGCCTCTATCTGGTCGGAGTAGGAGAAGGACGGCGGTGCGTCCTGGGGAAATTCGAGTTCAGAGTGAAGAAGAGCAGGGTCGAAGGATGTGGGTATGTCTGGTGAGTAGCTACTCATTGATTGTCGTCGTGTCCATGGTGTTAATGATGTGCCATGTGGAAAGTGCACGTTGACGCGTCGGGCGCGACTTAGCGCGTGTTCCTCTCGCGCTAGACCATTGTAGGGTTCATTTCAAGTCATTCAAGTCAATAGCTTTCAACACATGAGCAGTTATAAAATCCTAGGCATTTAGTCTCGCATTGAACAAAACATATTTCCCTTTCCTTATACAGAGAACTCCTCTAAGCATCTAAAGCAGATTAATATCCATGAATTATAAACAAAATCGTTAATACTTGCATATTGCGTTTGTGCTGGCGTGCGCCTTGTTACCACTTGCTGGCTAGCGGGGTAAATTCTCAAGTGCCTCACTGTCCCCTCCTCTTAAAACACTGTCTACGTCAATTAGAAAAGAATAAGTAAACCTAATTATATTTAATCTAATTTATAAGTTCTTCATGATGACATTCAAAAGCTGAATGGCGCAGCGGAAGCGCGCCGGGCTCATAACCCGGAGGACGCACGATCGAAACGTGCTTCAGCTATATGTTCTTTTTGCCCGTTTTGAGGACTCGCATCATACAACTAATTAACTCTTCTCCTTTTTTGCAGTTGTTAGGCATTTGCAGATCGTCCTCAGCGGGTGATTAATCCTTATTAATCCTAGCTCTCTATTATTCTGTGTGCTAGTATACTAGAAATTTCGTTTTCAAATTAAACATATTGTAACAATGGGGCAGAATTGTTCGCCCATTGTTCTATGCTAAGCCAACCCTAATAACAGCCCAACTTATAGATGTATATATAGAGCAGCTCGCCTATGTTAGGATAGGCATGTTCTTCTTGTCCTTTTGTACAAGACCTATAGGTGTAGGAATCTCATCCTTTTCCGTACAGACGCGCACTCCCATACCGGTATGCCCTTGAGTCGTATAGGATACCTTTTGGATGCCCTACCTACCTGCGTCGTTACACATATCTTCCCAGCTTATGTAGCTATACTAGATAAGCAGAAATAAGCAACGCCTTTAGGTGTCTAACACTCGTGATGCAAGAATAGTCTATGTAACGAAGATTAGTGAGATAAATTCGCAGGCAAAGCTGTATTGTATTATGGTAGCTGTGGGGATGTGCACTGAATAAGACCTAAAACTTAACTACTATATAATAAGTACTAGCAAAGCCTTACAGAACTCTGCGGTTTGAATCTAAAATTAGTCGACAAGCTCTTTAACATATGGATCTTTTTTTGCTATTAGCCTTCACCGTACGCATTACACAACACGTGGGGTCATGCTGTGGGGCGAAGTCTTTCTATCGTGGGCCTAAGAGAGTGAAGCGGGTAACAAGTATCAGACCTACTGGGTGAGATCTATAGGTCTCGTGGACTAAGAAAACTCGCTCTCGTGCTTCCTATCTCGTACGACATGACAGCCCACAAGAGGCCGACAATAGCGACAGTAAGACCCGCGTTCGCGAAAGGACTACAAGTTTCACGCACCCATGTGCCTGAGGTCTTTGCAGATTGTTTAGTTTAGCTTGGATCAGAGAGTTTATATCTAGTCACAAGACTGCGGTCATCGGTATGCAAGTAAAAACTCTCTCCTATCCTCATGTTACACGGTCGAAAATCAACTTTCTTACGCTTCTTTCTCACATCATCTAATCTTATCACTCTTCTGCAACGTGCAATCTACGTTACAACCGCCCCACTCAACTGTCCAGCCGCAGTAATAACAACATCCTTCACCGGCCTATCACCAGCCCCGGTCTGCGTCCCCTCAACCATCCTGACAACATCCATGCCATCAATAACCTCGCCGAATACAACATGTTTTCCGTCTAAATGCGGTGTTGCCGATGTTAAAATAAAGAATTGAGAACCGTTTGTGTTCTATGTGTGAGTGTCGTCGCGTCAGCATGCTGAGTGGAAGGGGGTAAACAAACACTTCGTGATATGAGAGTAATGGAAAGTAGAGCAACGCACTGGACCTGAGTTTGCCATGCTGAGAAGACCGGGGTGCGTGTGACGTAGGGTGAAGTTCTCGTCGTCAAAAGAGGAGCCCCCGAAAATGGACGCGGAACCTGTGCCATTGCCGTTTTTAAAGTCGCCGCCTTGAATCATAAAGTCCGGGATCTGGGAAAAGGGATTAGCACAGTAAAAGTATACAATGCCTGTGAAATTCTTGCAAACCCAGCCAAAAGCCAGATTCCCCATTGAATGAACCGAATACTTCAAACACATGCATCATGCAATGACATTCAACCCCCAGCCGTCCAAAAGCCAACTTCCCGCTCAAACAAAGTAAACTCGCATCAACATACAACACGGTGAAACACACTGCCCTCATACCCTCCGCCCTCAAACTCCCCCGTACAAAACCGGCGGAAATTCTCAGACGTAGCCGGCACAACATCGAGAAATAATTCCATCTGCACACGGCCCACAGGCTGTCCGCCAATCGCAACATCAAAGTACACGACGGGATTATCAGCATGGCGCTTTGGTTTTGCTGGTGCGCTGGGTGTTGTGCTCGCTGCGGTTTGTGGTTGTGCAACTGTTGGGCGTGCAGGTTGAGTCGACTCGCCCGGGGCAAGAGTGTCGGCCTTTTTGCTGTGCATGCAGCCCATGATGGTTATTGATCGTGAAATCTGGAATTAAATTTTCTTGTGGAGTTGTTTGTTATTCCTTCCAAGTCAGATCAGAAGGCTCAGAACACAAAAAAGACATGTTTAGACTTGCTTGAGCTTCGATGACGGCACCGGGACGCGCTAGGGGAGTAGCAGAGGAGCTAAGGGAGGCGGCGAAGTGCGGAACCAAGGGATTCTAGGTGATGACTTCATCGTGGATGATTCTTAGTATACTGGATTTGTTGTTCTTGCATACCTATGTTACTGTTCAGAGGCAATGTCACACTACAGGGATCTGAGTATGGGACGGGAGAGGGATGATCGCCCGGTCCGAAGCGCTCTGCAGCGATTCGCTGTATTTGACAACGGCGTATTCCATCCCCATGCCTTAATAGTACTATTGAGAAATGCTAATCATGCCGCCAACAATGAGAGAAATGTCTGACTAGTAGTAGTTGATCAGCTAATTGTTAAATGGTGTCACGTGACGAAAATATTCACTCAACGGATGCCAAATTCCCCTCTCCTCCCACCCCTCCCTCCCGGCTCCAGGATGCTCTGATGACCAGCGTTGTAGTACAGAAGTAATTTCGTAAACCTAAATTGACAGCCAGTTCATCTCAACGATCGTTTTTTCATATTTCATGTCTACCAGTGATCACATGGCCGCACCCGTGCACGTTAAAATCACAATCCACAATCCACTCCACAAACCTACACTCCCGCTCAGTCATATCCGCAAATCATAACGCGCTCATCGAAGCCTCTGAGCTACAAGAATGAAATTACTCTTCCGACCGATTAAGCCCCATCTTGTCACCACTCGTGACAATGTACCAGGCTCTATCTCCTCACCAACCCAGACATCCTCTGCCATACCCACACCGACACCTAACACTCATTCATTCCTCTAAACGCCAAAGCGCTTCCCTCGCTACAGTATCCACGCAAAATAGGCAGATAGGAAGGTAGGCACACTAATTCTGCTCGGCTTATCCAGCTTGAAAACGGGGGTGAAAGGGCCCAAGCATCAGGAGCATGTGATACACAACTCACAGCTAATGATGGAATACCCGTGCTTCAAGTCACTTCTGCGGGGCGATGGCTGGAAAGAACAGGAGTAGGATCTCCAAGCTTCGAGTGGATTATTCACTTGCTGGAGAGGGGGCTGTGGCGCTGGTATTTAAAGGGAATTTAGTTCGTCTTTCACCTCACGATATTGCAGAGCACTTTTCGCTCAACTGGGGTTCTGGTGCATCAAAATTGGAAGCGAAACGCTATGGTTCTTTCTGAATGGACGGCCGCGGCAGGTGAGGATGGGAATGAGATGGGGAGTGTGGGCAATTTGCAGGGAGGTTCTTGTGATGAGCGACGATATGTGTCAGGGTCTCCACTGGATGGATTGGCTATGTACGATGGAACTTGTCCAACGGTGGACAAGGAGCCACCAGTAGATCCATCCATCCAGCAGACGTCAACCACGGAGTCCTTTGATCCTCCCGCTCCTCTTCCCTCTCTTCACCAGGCCCTGGATATCCAACGCCCCGGATCTACCTCAACCCACCGCCTCGTCTCTCGGCCATCACGAAGCCACCACCAACCCCGCGCAGCCCCTTACCAAACCAGTCGACTCTCCAGCATAACAAAAAGCAACGTCACCACACTGCCCAAACCACAAACCGCAAAATCCTCCGACAACCCAAGATCGCGATTCCTCCACGAAGAATTCAACAACGAATACCTCATCCCCCCAGGCCCAGCCCTCAACTTCACGCTCGTTGAAATCCTGACCATCTTGCCAAACTGGTTCCGCAACGGCGCGCTGGCCACTCGCTTCCTGAACAACGGCATTTCGTCGGGGATCCACTTTTTGATTCTCCGCGAGCACCGGGTCCTGCGGTTGGCTAGCGAGACGCAGTGCGAGCGCGCGCGCGACAGCCTCTCGGATGCATACCGCAGGGTTATGCGGAGGACAGATCCGACGTGGACGAAAGCCCGGCATCGGGTTCCACTGGGCTGGGATAGCCGGGCTATCGCGGTGAATGGGGTTGTGCCTGAAGGAGGACGGGGGCAAGCGTGGGTGCCGCCTGCGTCTGTGGTGTTCAAGGCGCTGGCTAATGGAATGAAGAAGTTACCTGAAGGTGCGGACGCGGGCGATCTTACGCGGGCGCTGGGATTTGCCATGGAGAACCAGAAGGAGGATGGATTTGGTGGGTGGATTGACTTCCTGTTCCCGGATGATCTGCAGGGGATTCTGGAGCGTGTGGGACGGACGCGGGTTACGGCGGAGCATGCAGATCTTTTCGCTGTTGCAAGATATGGCGAGAGGCTTCGAGAGGTGCAGCAGGCACGGTGGAAGTGGATTGCTGATATGCGTATGCAGCAGCAGGCAACTGATAGTCGTTGCGATCTTGAAGCTTTGACTCAACAGGGTGATGATCCTAAAATACAACCACATCCTGTATCGGGGGTTCAGATGCAACTTGCTTCACAGCAAGCCTGGAATCCGTCTCAGCTGCAGCGTGGCCCGACGGCTGTGCCATTTGGTTCGAATGATAGTCAGCATGATCACAGTGACCGGTCACAGGCCTTGTCCCAAGCAAACTTCCACTCTCCGTCCTCGATTGCTGACCTGCATTATAAATCAGCAATGGCATGGGCGGATATGGGTCCACTCGGCCTTGGACAGTCGAATACTGGAGCAACTCGTTCCCAGTATTTGCCACACATCCAGCCCAATCTAGAAGTGGCCTCTCCAAACCCATACGGGGATCATCCTTCTTCCCAATCAGATGCTGACGCACAAATGGTAGCAGCAGTCACCGCATGGCTAGCTGAACAGAATCTTATCACACCTAGAGCAGATGCAGGCCAGCAAAGTGGCGTCATAGAGCTCGCCGCCCCGTCTCTAGATATCTCCGAAATGCAGTCCGTGTCCCAAGACGAACCGTTTCCTCAAATGGAAGTACGGGAAGAATGGTATGCCTTACCTGATTCAACGGCAGCAGAAGCAGCGGTACCCACTGAAATCACAGAAGATGGCTCCGTTACCCCGATTTCGGACGCCTGCCGCATTACGGAGCTTGAAAACGAGATCACTGATCAAGCACTCCTTGCCAACGCAGGACCTGGGTATCAGCTCTTCAACTGCGATGAATTGGACGCGATATGGGATCCCACTCATCCGTTCGGCACGACGGGCCTGCTGACGCCGCCGAAGGATGTATTGTTGTTTGGAGCTGAAACAAATACTGCTCCCATTGTAAATCTGACCGGAATGAGTGGTGAGCTTTCCGACAACGATCAAGTGGATGCCGGTGGTTTGCGCGCTGCTCCATTGGGCACGCGCTTGATCGACTGTGTCGAAGGCGATGATGTACACGATAAGAGTGATCTTGCGCGTGCTGTACGGTGGGCACGCGAGCGTGGAGAGTTGGGTCAGTACTTTGATGTCAATGACGTTGCAAACATTGTTGATGTCATGAAGCGACAGGGCAAGTATTGATCTGGTTACATGGATGCATTGGGAGAGGCTGGCGAAAGAGCGGGCTTTGAGTCTGAACATGTGACGGAAGAGAGGGATTCCTATATGCTAGATTGTTCGTTGAGGTTCCTTTCTTGTGTTTACGCTCAAGCGTATGGTAGGTGTTTGTTGTAGCGACTGCGGATTGCTGTATCGCGAATTCCAAGTACTGTGTAGATACTAAATGGCAACGAAAATGATATCCGACTCATGACTGACTGAGTGAAAGCCGTGGGTTGTCTGGATATTAGGTGAGCAAGTTGGTAGAGATCTTTCTACATGACCGTCCCCTACTCCCCCGCCAACTTGCCCAACGCCTCGCCCTCAACCCTCAACCCAATCCAAGCCGTCTTCTTCTTTGCGCCAATAATCTCACTCTGGTAGAACTGCAAGCTCGGCTCATTCCAGTCCAAACAACTCCATTCCAGCCTCTTGCCTCCCACCTTCAACACCTCCCTGGCCAAGGCCTGCAGTAGCGCTTTTCCATAGCCCTTCTTGCGGTACGCCTCTTTGACGAAGAGATCCTCAAGATAGATGCCTGGCACGCCAGTCCAAGTGCTGAAGTTGTAGAAGTAGAGCGCCATGCCGGCTATGGTTCCATCAGGATCGGTGAGAAGGAGGGTTTTGGCGTAGCCTCGGGAGAACTTGGTGGGGTCTGAGGGGTCGACGTGGGAGAGCGTTTCCAGGAGCAAATCTTCTGTAGCTTCAACGGAGGATGTTGCCTTTTCATAGTCGGCGAGCTCCTGGATCAGTGATAGAATAGTCGATACGTCTGTGAGTCATGTGAGTAACGAGGGACGTTGTGTGAAGCGTGAGCCATGAGCATCCTAACCATCACGTGTTGCATGTCGAATTGTCGCACCGTTGGTAGCCATTGTGTCGGTCTCCAAGGCCTTTGATCGAGGATTCGAGAGTTACAACGGAAAGGAGAAGGAAAAGGAGGCGGTCGTCGGCTTGAGCTTACCTTGTATGCGGGATGACGCGCCCTACGATGTGCCTGTTCGTGTGCGGTACTGGCAGAATTGCGGGACTCAAGCTCGACGCTGCTCACCGCCCCCAGCTTGATCACCGAAAGCGGTATCGCGCCGTTTCTTCCATTCGTCGAGTTTCTGCCTCAGAGGATGGCCAAGCGGCAGATATTCTGTGAAGAAGGGAAACCGAATGTGATCCTCCTGCAGGTTTTGCGGCACAACTGGCTTCTCCCGCTCTGTCTTTGGTGGGTTGGGCACATGTCCTTTGGCATCTACACCGGCGAAGAGGGACTGGTCTGTGGGAGCCGCGTATATCTTCGGATGGATTGCCTTGGTCGGCTCACCCCAGATGGCTTTCCATTGCTTGCGCTCATCGTCATGCTCTAGTTTGCATGACAAGGCGAGGAGTTTTGCGTAGAGGCGACGCATGAATCTCTGGGTCATGTTGTGTGGGCGGTGCATGCCCACAGGTCGGTCGGCTTGACTTGGCCTGTCCATAGCTAGACCTGCTTCTAGTATTCTCAAAGCGTGTTCCTGGTCATCCACAGCTGGCGAGGCAGCAGGACTTGTGCCCAGTCGTGTGCGACGCCTGACAAGACTGATCTTCTTCTCACCTGTAGCCATGGCCTTGATAGCATCCCACTCCTGGTTGGGCAACGGTGGCATCAGCCTGGTCAGCGTCTCTGCATACCATTTCCTGACGGTGTTGCGCGCCCGCTTGATGGGCATGGGCCGCTCCCAGACGTTGTTGATGGGCGTCACCAGCTCCGAGTTCTTCATCTGTCGACCCATGGAGATGCCCTTGGCATACTGCGACTTTACGACGGTGCGGAAGCGCGAATAATGGTCTGATATGTTGATGGTATAGCGAGTCTTGGATTTCGGTTCTGGCGCAGCAAAGTATTGCAGGTAGCGCTTGTCGCTGTGATATAGCTGTTGTAGCGGAGCCTGTCCTGGGAGTTCTGGCGGCGAGGACACCATCTCGCCAATCAGGGAGCAGTCAGGCCGCAGCAGATGATCGAGCAAGGCATACTTGCGCCTGCCTATACGTCCATAGGTCAAGTACAGGACTTTCAACAGACAGGACGTTTCGCCCGAGTTTGCACGTCGCAACAAGTTCAGCCCCTTGCGGCCTTTCTTCAGCAGCGGCCGCGTGCGCTCATTGATGACGGCAAGCTTGCGTCTCCTGAAGCTCTGGTGTCTATACCTGTCGACAGCCTGGATTTGGGATGTGGGCGAGGCATTCTGCTTGGGCTGGTAGGCCTTGAAGCGGCTGACAATGTAGCGGCGGAAATAGGGGCGGGCGCTGGCATCGGGCAGGTACGTGGCTTCACGCAGCAGGGCGCGCAGCAGGTGGACGGGCGCGAGACTCGAAGGACTGGTCGGGGTGAAGGCTGTAGACATGATCACATCGGACAAGAGGTTTCCCCCCGATTCATTTCTCCCATATTTTCACGGGCGGGCGAGTGGTTGGGTATAATCATGGATGTCGACAATGGACACCTATCTTCCCAGGCTAGGTACGGCCTGTGCCACCAGTAGGCGACAACACGTGATTTGAAGAAAGAGAGAAAGAAAAAAGGAACAAAAGGGTACCAAGTGTTGATTGGCTGCCCCGTGCAACCGAGCACTTTGGCTCGAACGCGTCGCGATCTCCACATACGGACAACGGCCCAATTCACTCCCCGCCCACTCAACCCCCAGCCCAGCCAGCCAGTAGCCCACCACCGCCCACACAGCCAAAACAAGTCTCCGCTCTCCCACCGCTTGCGCCAACCTATATGCAGACAGAAGAAGAAGAAGAAGAAGAAGAAGAAGACCGACGTGTGGCGACGACAGAATTCGGTACGATACTAGCGTGCGCGCGCCTGGTCTCGTGGTAGACAAAGCCCCCCTCCCCTTGCCCGAACCACAACTATCCACGCCTACCTCTGCGTCGTCCTCCATGACCACCGTTTGACCTGCGCCTTTCCTCAAACCCCCCTCCAAGGCCCCTCCAAGGCCCCTCCAAGCTTTCCCAGGCCCGCCTCAGCGCTGCGTTCGCAGCATGCAAGTCGCGCGCACATCGCAGTCGTCGTCTTTCCCTGCCGGCTCGCCGCCACAGGCCGCCATGTACGCCAATTCTCCCCATGGACTCATGGCTGCCCCCGGCTTCAACCAGTCTTTTTCCGACATGAACGGCTTCCCCCAGCACGGTATGGAAAAACCGCAAATCTACACGGTAGGCGACATGGCCCAGCGCAACTTGCAACAGGGATGCTGACAAGACAGGCTGTCTACTCGGGCGTGTCCGTCTATGAAATGGAGGTCAACCGTGTCGCCGTCATGCGCCGACGCTCCGACGGCTGGCTCAACGCTACCCAGATCCTCAAAGTGGCCGGCGTGGACAAGGGCAAGCGGACCAAAGTTCTTGAGAAGGAAATCCTGACGGGCGAGCATGAGAAGGTGCAGGGCGGCTATGGAAAGTACCAGGGCACGTGGATCAACTACCGCCGGGGCCGAGAGTTTTGTCGCCAGTACGGCGTCGAGGATGTCTTGCGCCCACTGCTCGACTACGACATCAGCGCGGATGGCAACGCAGGGCATGGCCTGGAAACGCCAACCAAGGAGCAGGCCATGGCGGCAAACAGGAAGCGCTTCTACACGCAGAGCATGGACGGCCGTAGCACTAGCCAGAGCGTCGGCGGCACCTTCTTCTCCAACATCTCCTCCACAGCCACTAGTGCGCTTGCCGCCATGAACAAAGTCGCCCGCCTCAACTCACCTGCCCCACGACCAGCGAGCTCATCGCAAGGCCGGAGATGTATGGCGAGACCCCAGGGACCCATGGCCAGCCAGGAGTCATTCAGGACGAGCAGCCAGCAGAGCATCACGTCTGAGCGTAGCTTTAGCGGAGGCAACGGCCACGTAGACTCCGCCTACGGCACCGGTATGGACGATGCTCAGGAGCCGCCTAGAAAGCGCGTACGCGCGAGCCAAGACGAGTCCTTCTCGCAACAGCCAAATGGACTAGACATGTCGATGCGTGATTTAGGCTCGCCCACCGAGCCAAGTGAGAGCTTTTACCAACACCAGACAGGACACCGCATCACCCTACCCGATGGCGAGGTTCCATCAGCTCTGCCGCCTCTTCCCCATCCAGACACCAAACACAACGAAGAAAAGCAAGCCATGTTGACTGATTTGTTTGCCGACCAGACCAGGACAGACTTTACCAATCATCCAGCCATACTTCATCTTTCCGGCCAAGATCTCGACATGCCAATTGACAACACATCAAATACCGCCCTCCATTGGGCAGCTACCCTCGCTCGTGTTTCCCTGATGCGCCTTCTTGTCTCAAAGGGAGCCAACATGTTCAGAGGCAACTCATCGGGACAGACGCCGCTGATGAGTGCGGTGACGGTGAACAACAGTCTGGACCACAGTTGCTTTCCAGAGACCCTTGAGATCTTGGCGCCACTAATCGAACTCCGGGACGCTAACGGCAGGACCATTCTCCACCACATCGCCGTCACGTGCGCCATCAAAGGTCGCGCCGCATCCAGCAAATACTATCTCGAAGCCTTGTTGGAGTACCTCGTACGAAGCAATATTGGGCCCGGTCAAGTTCCTTCTTTTCACGAAACCAGCAACTATCCGAAACCAATAGGATTGATGAGGTTCATGCAAGAAATGGTCAACGCGAGAGACAAGGACGGTAATACTGCACTGAATTTGGCGGCGAGGATAGGAAACCGCAACATCATTTCACAACTCATGGAGGTCCAAGCGGACCCGACCATTCCCAATCACAAGGGCACAAGGCCAATTGACTTTGGCGTCGGCAGTGACATGGGTGATGGCAACGCAACCATGACAGCAAACAGTCCAAGTAAGGGCAAGGCGCCGCTCAGTAAAGTGGAAGAAACAAGTCGCGAAATTCAACCTCGTAAGTTCTGCTTCATCCTCATCGCATCACCTAATTCTGATCAAAGTCCACAGTAATGAATGGTATTCTCCAATCGGCGTCGATGCAATTTACACAAGAAGCTCGTTTAAAACAAGACTCTATAGACCGCACCAATGACCTTATCACCCAGCTATCCGGCCAACAAAAGCAAGAGCAGCAAAGACTCGAAAACCTCCGCGCGCGCCTTCGCACGCGCCAAGACCGTGCGAAACGAATCTCAAATTTAAAACGCTGGCTCGAACCTCAGAGACACATGCTCGCCGTCAACGCCGGCGCCACCGATCTCCACGAAAAGCGACGAATTGGCTACGCGGACCTCGAAGGCGCAGGCCTCATCATCAACGAAGACGATCTACCCTACGAACTCCGACAAGCGGGTGACCACCTCGGTCGCCATGCCTCGGACGGACCCTCCTACATCTCTACGCCTCTCCCCATTGACGCCGCCTCACTCAGCCAAATCCTGCAACAACCGCAATATCGAGACTACCTGGTGCAACAACTACCTCCGGCTCATGTGCTTCGACAACGGCTGGAGACGTATACGCATACCAACGGCTCACTCCTCAATCGCAGTAGGATACTCAAGGAGAAGGATGGTCAGCTCGAGCAAATGTATAGGAAGGTGGTCAGTCTGTGCACAAAAGTGGAGGAGAGTCGGATTGAAGAGTGCCTGGAGGGCTTGGTGGCGGCGTTGGATAGCGAGGAAGGTGAGGGTGTGGAAGTGGGTAGGGTGAGAGAATTTTTGAGAAAGGTCGAGGGGGTGGAGGCATAGCGGGGTCTGTCGGGGGGTGGTGGATGTTGGTGTTGTAGTTTTCTCTCTCTTGACTTTGTGAGATCCCTTGTCCGAGAGGGAGACTTGGCTCTGGTCATCAAGAGAAAGGGCTTGCTGCGTCTTGCCTTGGTTGCTTTCTTTGTGGATATGAAGGAATATGAAATTTTATCTTCTACATTCTTTTTACCTTTTTTTTTGGGCCCGGTGTGCGATGGGCATTTGTCTCGATTTTCCTTTTCCAGCCGTCTCGCATCTGTGCCATTCTTGTTTGGCGCTGATTGCGTTTTTGGCAATGCTAGGTGTTGCATTGTGCAGTTTTGTTTTCTTTTTGAGGCGAGAGAGGGGGTTGGGGGTTTCTCTGAAAACAAAGTACGAGTCCAAGGCCGAGGTTTCAGTCAAGTCGGAAAGGAGCGACGATAAACCCCATTCTTGCACTCTGGTGGTGGTGGGAAATCCCGTGCGATTCTCTCTGCACATGTCCCAGATTGGACAACGATTGGCAGGGGACAACGACATGTACGGCTCTTGGCTATTAGCTATTGTGTGCCTCAAGCATGGGATTTTTCTTTTGTTCATCTGAGCTTTCTGCTGACGCTAGAAGTGGGAATATGTATGTGGTGTTTTGGGGTCTTGTTTTAGGAAACTGGTTATGTTTGGCGTTGGCATTTGAAGAGCCGCGTTGATTAGATTGACGCTGTTCAACTTGAGTATTACGGTAGTAGTGGGCAGGGCGCGATTAGGACACGAAAGGATATGAAGCTAGTTAGTGTATGGTTCGGAGCGCGAGCATGATACCCCGTGGCGACGGATTCCACTCGCGAACATGAGGGCATTGGACGGTTGTGCGCATTCATGTGGTCATGAATGATCTGGATAATTCGATCATAGGGAGAGATTTGATGGAGGTTGAACCTACCTGCTTACACAATGGACGCGACGAGGCTGTAAGCGCAATGGCAAACGCTCTGTTTTATTTTCAAAGAGGAAATCACGATGGGAAGCAAGAAGGGAATTTGCCACAAGATCCATGATTGGTATATATAGTTTGGTAAAGGATAAGATCTATGGATGAGAAATTTGTGGGCCTTGGAAGGGAATAAATGGTAAGATTGTCGAAGAGAAGTGTAGCTGTTTGGGCCAAGATTAAGACTAGAGATTTCCTCCACTGTCTTCATTATTCGGGCGTAACGAGTGCTGGATCAAGGCAGAGGGAAGATTTGATGTAGTTGCTGAAATCATAGGTTTTGTCGTCGTCGCCGAGAAACTTGGACAAATCCGATTCTTCCATGTACGGGGTGAAGTAAGCCTCGCCCGAGCAATCGGCGGTAGAGAAAAAGCGGCAAATACCGGATGCCTCAACTTTAAGGGACAGTGCCTTCACAGGGCCCACGACGCAATAATCGGTGATCAAACCGCCCTCCTTGCCCATGGGGAACTCCTTCTTGGTGCACCCCTTGAAATTCCTTTCCGAACATACCGTGACCTGGACAAAGCCCTTCTTCACGGGCTTAGGGAGAGGCGGAGGACTTGGCATGCAAACGAATCCCGCAATCTTCTTGGTAATATTGACTGGACCCAACAGACTCTTGTATTGCGATGCGTCGTTCTCCGCACGACTGTTGATACCATAGGGGAACTTTTTTCCTTCATCTCGACACGCCTTGTTGTCGTAAAATTCGCAACGAACGCCCTTGGGTACGTTGATAGAGCCAATGTAGGGCATTTTGGGATCGATGCACGCTTTTTTGTTGTGGATTTTTTGTGTAAGGTGGACAGTCGCTTCTATATCTTTGCATTGACCATGCAAGTTCTTCTCCGGGCAGATCTTGATTTTGGTCGTAGTCTCAGGGGGAAGGAGCGCGCAATTGAATGATTTGACGGCCTTTGTCAGGTCGACGTGTTCTTCATCTGGCGTCCCTCCCGACAACGTGGAATTTGCTAGGTTCTTCGATTCGCCTACAAAACTGAAATAGTCTTTTGCAGTGTTCATTTCGCATTTGTCGTTGGCAAAAGCGAGGCAAATAACGTTTGGTTCCGTCTTAATGGAGTCGATGGTAGAAAGTGTAGTACGCATGCACACCCCTTTCGCTGTCTCGCCAGTTCCATCGACGAGCGGCACCTTTTGTATGGTTTCGCATTTATCCACGGGCTTGTTTTTTTGACAGAACGTGACATCGGCGTGGCCCACAATCTTTCCTTCATCCCCTTGATCGCCATCGCGGGGTTTAAGTGGCTGATGGAGGGCACGCTTTCCTTCGGCTTGTACAGCGATTCCGCGAACCACACGTTTTGATTCTCGAGATTTGAAGTCAAGGGCGGCCGTGACACCGAGCAGGGCGAGGGTAACCACTGATAGCTTCATTTCGGTGAAGCTCCAGCTGTTGAAGGAAGATTAAGTGCGTGATCGGGGGGTTTCAAGGCAAATATTTCAATCGCAATAGGTAGAGACCGTGTCAAAAGAATACAGAGGAGAGTGGTGAGGGTAGCTTGTGGCCTGAATGTAGAGTGCGGATATCTCCTGGTATAAATACCATACTTAGCCTTGGTCGTCTTGTTCCGGTCAAATATACTTCTAGGTAGCCGGCTCAGTCACACTTGAGAAAACAGTTCCCCGACTCGGCCTCATGTTGACGGCAGAATTTGGGATATGACAGTGAGATCTCATGGAGATGATGATGATCGTCGGCCCGGGGTGGAGAGCCTGTGTATGGACTAGCGCTTACCACAGTAGCTACCAAGGCGTAAGCCAGAATCACTTCTTTGGACCCGATCAAAGTGGTAACATTTGTGCTGTAGGTCATTATGATAGATACCTACATATCCAATGCAAATTAAACCACTTTTACCCTGTCCGCGTTCTCTGCAGGGCTGCTCCGCATTGAAATTTCAAGCTTAAGTTGTACTGTTAGTAAGACCACTACCGATGACCGATGACTGGCATCGGTCCGGTAAGCTACGGTACTATGCACACATCGACGTGCGGACATCTTGTAGAAACTGAATGTCTTGTCATAGATCGCAGCCATGCTTGTGCAACAACCGAAACTTTAGGAAGTTCTGATGTCAGTGGCCTAGCTTAAGTTCATGAATCGTCGCACGCTAACTAGGTTCTTTGATGACCGGGGTTTAGGTCCTAGACAGATCCTTGCTTTAAGGTGCATACTGTCAGACCATGGGTCGCTTGGTGGCGCACCTCTGAATGACTATGGGGTATGGTGTGCCCTGCGCCCATATATACTCTTCTTTTCGTGGATAATCCATATTCATGGACTATACGTCCCTTTTTGGTTGTTTAGCGCAGTGGGAATAGACACCGTGTCCTAACACATATTAGATCTGTTAGCTGCGTCTGTTATGCTAGTAGTGTTTCCTTCTGCTAGGGTATCTAGCCTTTGTTGATTATGTCGCTGGTTTGATATTATCCCGCTTTTCTTGATACAGACGGAGCTAATCGTTACAGTGCACTTATCAGGTTCGCTGTTAGCTAACGCTAGGGGAATGTCTACTTAGCACTAACACTGATTGTCCTGAAGGGAAACATCGCAGGTTCTGTAGATTCATTATAGTTACAAAGCAGAGTTGGCACCTCATAAGTATAACTTTAGGTCCCCCCTTATCTGAAATACAAGATGTAAACTAATCCATTGTAGATCTTGTATTCTCACACACAATGGTTACATGGATAGGTAATATGTTTAAGCTGATGGCCTGGATAACAATTTCTGTCTCTGCCTTCGTGTCTAGATGCAGCTGCATTGTGACCTATGGGTACTAGGTAACTTACGTGACAAGTGAGTCATTTTCGCGGTTGTAAAGATACCAAGCTTGGTCCGTCATTGCGGAAATCAGTTCCCCATCTAAATCGCTTACTTGCCCTAAGTGTAGCGATGGAACAGATACAAGCTTTCAGACCGTTTGGTTGGGTGAATCGTGTACGTTTTTTTTGAGGTAGTAGAGATGCTTAGGCCATATGCTGCGTGCGTATATCCTCCAATATTGTACATCTGCCTTCCCGAAATAGATCATATCTAGACTATAAATGGTACAGGCTCTGGGCACGCTGGTTCTTTCCTTCTTGATGTCCGTATTATACCGAGTCGTACCGAATGAAAGCTGCACAATCTCTACTTCAAAGTTTATTCATTGTACTGTACACCAATGCATCGATTCTTTTGGAGATCAGCAAGGACGCAATCGGTCCTGCCAAGATCTCGTAAGCACGCTCTATTCGGAGTAATCTCACACCGTGATTAGTCGCTTTGTATACCACAGTAAGCTTCGTTTTGTTGTTTCAGTCTTTGCAATCCCCATGGCCACATAAGATCAGTGGTAATGTGCCCTGTTATGACATTGTGACAAGGCGCAAAATGTCTGCGCTCTAAAACAAAGTTCCAATACAGTGGATTCCGTCTCGTGCGCTACTTCCTACAACCACTTACATACATTTGTAACATGGACCCTGGCTGTCAGATATGAACCCAGTAACCAAGTGTGACGATGGTGCCCATTGTAAGGCACTCCCGAAACTCAGGGGTAAAGCACTGATGATGGGATTTTGGATAGGTCTCATGTAAGCTACGGAGGTACTCCTGGCTGCAGTAATACTTGTGAACCAATATTGATCATGGTTACAGATAACCCTAATGTCGTGATCTGCAATCATTATGCTAACTTTCTGGCATCATACTAAGAACACCATACCTTTTTGTTTGTAAATGCCTGGCATGTACAGTTAAATTGGCTACCTACATCTATCTCTTCAGGATATATTGTTAAACAAGCGCTCGGTGATTGCGTTCCTTGACTCTTGACCTTAACCCTACGAGGATGAATTAAACGGGAAATCTTGATCCACATTCAAAGTGAACTATATTAATGTGCGCAACCTGATCACGAGCTTACGGGTAAAGAAAGCCTAAGGTTTGAGGAGATTCTGGTCCGACTTGTGCCATCTCACTAGGTTTGTACTATGGTATCAGGCAAAAGTGCTCCCCTGTGGGGCGTCTGAGCCACCCCTGTATCTAACTATACTAGATTGGGGTGATACAGTAATATATTCATTTCTTAAAGTATCTTAATACTTAGTATGCCCACCTTAGGCTTTAATTACTACCTAGCAGCAAGCCTTTATACTATTTACTAGTAATTAGAGCCAATTAGGTGTAATTAAGTCCTAGGCTGCGCGGACAATCTCTTGTAGTTATTTATATAAAGGCTGTTGCCCTACACTACGGTAAAAAATTGTTTACTGTAGAATGGTACACTAGGGGTTTACTATATAGGTGTAAACTGACCTCGTGTATACCCGTAAATAGGTTTAAAGTGGTAGTTTACTTTTATTAAAGTGGTGGTTTACTTTTATTAAAGTAGTGGTTTACTTTTATAGTAGGTGTTTAAATTAAGTATAAAAAGTAGTTTTATTTCTATTATACGCTATAATACCTAACTAAGACTAAAAGGGGTAGAAAAGATTAGCTTTACGCTATACGCACATATAACATAATAATAAGTCATGATATTTTTACTAATAGGAGGTGGTGATAATAGGAGGTGGTGATAATAGAGGTAGTGATAATAGAGGTGGTGATAATAGAGGTGGTGGAGGTGGTGATAATAGAGGTGGTGGAGGTGGTGATAATAGAGGTGGTGGAGGTGGTGGAGGTGGTGGTGGTGATGGAGGTGGTGGAGGTGGTGGAGGTGGTGATAGAGGTGGTGGAGGTGGTGGAGGTGGTGATAGAGGTGGTAGAGGTGGTAAAGAAGATTAAAGAAAGGAGGGGTAAAATACTTAGATAGTTAGTAGGAAACTAGTAGATTAATAGAAGTAGAAGTAAAAGTGGAATACATGGTATAGTAAACCCTATTTAGGTTTACTTCTTCTACCTAAACTACTTCTTAGTCTACTTTAGATAAATATAGCTACTATAAACCGGTTTTGTACCGTAGTGCTATAGGTAGGTCTAGATAGTAGAATTTAATCTAATCTTTTATCCTAGGTATGATATTGCTAGGTTTAGTGCTTTTAGGTTAGTGTAGATAGTAGTGTAATTAGTGTTTAAGACATAGATAGTAGATAGAGGTGATAGTGAAGTAGTGATAGAGGTGGTGGTAGAGGTGGTGGAAGGGGTAGTAATAGGGGTTGAGGACTAAGAGATAGAAACATCGAGAAACTCAGGGGTGCATTAATTACCATACAAATTACTATAGATTTGCATGAAAAGTGTTGGAATACAGAGTTTCTAATCTCCGTAAGCACGGCCCTACTTACCCCCTGCAAGTAGACCCACGGTGAGCACTTTTACCTACCACCATAGTAAGCTCACGCATCCGGTCAAATTTTGAAACCAGGAACAGTGCACTGCACAGCCATATATGAGGAAAGAAGCTGGCTTTGTTGATCTTCTCGACTTTTGAATTGGGTGATTCCTATGCTGTCTTAAGGGAAGCGCGAAGTAGAGTCGTCATCGTCTTTTTAGGAGGCTTATAGATTTGGAGTTTAGTTACGCCACGACTGAGTGGCTGATTGGCTGAGCTTGAACAAAATTGCGAGAAAATTATCTCGTCCCTCTTCTGATATTTTTGTGTCATGCAATTCTCGTGGGCAACTGAGTTACCCGCTCCGATCCAGTGGGTGTTTCCTCCCTTGAGTTGCAAGTAGTAGGAGTCAATGTAATCAATCGATCAAGCGCGGGTATATCCATGCCGTAGCAGGTATCAATCAAACTCTTCTTCGATTCAGCGGTCCTCTTTGTAAGTCTTATGGGCGTAATATGATGGCCCGACTGCAAGACTGAGCCCTGATGGCATCATAATCCATCCTTCAAGGCTGTGACTGTGTATGAACATCGACTCAGCGACCGAAATTTGAGCATCGTGAAGCATGCATCGAGGAACGGTCCGTTTGAAGTCGCTCTCAAAGTTCTCTCTAAGATTCAACGGGTACAAATGCACCCCCCTAAAAGGATATAGCGCCGAAATTCTAAGTCTTGTAAAAGATCATCAGATGATCACCCTTCAACACTAGGAGTTCTTCCAGGGGGTTCCTTGTAGGAGTTCTTGCAAAAAATCACAGTCAGTTCAGTATATGGAGGAATCGGCAGAATAACTCTAAAATGGTAAGTCAGCGTCAGCACAGAACTCGCATTGATCATCACATACTAGTAGTGTCCTTGTGTGTATTTAAGTTCTACAAAAGGTCCGGATGCCAGCCCTTGGTTCCTAATCTAGGATGGTCAATTCTTTGTAATTAGTTAATTTCATGGAGAGGTCTCTCATCTGTACATAATTCATTTACCGTCGCTTAGTGAAAAAGGATTGATCAGATACTCGCAACTAATTTGGTCCTTCCCTAATCTAGTAGAGTCACAGTAAAACTAGAATTTACTACACTTATACGTATAATGTACAAAACAATCAGCCTCTAATCTGCTTCTTTGATATAAGTTACAGTACACATTGTAACGCGTTAGCATTAGGTTAGCGTGTGCGAAAATGCATCGCGCAGTGTTAACATTTAGCTTGTGCAGGGTTTGTCAATGCACCCACATATATTTTTTCTAGGCGATATTCTGTTTACGGATACAAGCAACCTTTTTATTGCAAATGTACAGAGGTGCTTCTAGGACTGAATGTTTAGGCGTCTGCGTTAAGTGTGATAATTAGTGGTATTCAAATTACTAAATACGCTGATTGCTAACCTAAGTGCACAATGTAACAACGCAGGTAGGTAGGGGCATTTAAGAAGTATCCAATATACCTTAAAGGCATATAGGAGTGCGCGTCTATATAGAAAAGAATATAATTCCTACACCTATAGGTCTTGTATAAAAGGATAAGAAGAACTTGTCTATCTATCTATATATAAGATGTCACGGTGGGAGACAGAAGTTTAGTGGTAGATTGGGACAGTAGGTGTTGATTGAATATCAAACGAATCGATACCGTGTGTATCGATTCTCACGGGTATTTATACTGCCCATGATCACGTAATCTGCCTAGCTTGGGCCACTCTGGCCCATGCTCGAGTCAGCAGGGTCGGCGGAGCCCTGTGTCCTGACATACAAGTATAAATAAAAGTTATTTACTTTTATAGAATATATAACGTTAGTATAGTAAACCGTATTTAGGTTTACTTATTCTACCTAAACTACTTTTTAGTCTACTTTAGATAAACATAGCTACTGTAAACCAGTTTTGTACTGTAGTGAGAGGACTAGTATAACATGGCCTATGAATGAATTTTGAACCACGATGTTGCTCCTTATCTTAGGTACCGGTAATCGGTCCAGTCCCAATATGAACCAAATGCATTACTTCCGATAACTCCCTTCTCATCTGTTCTCGATAAATGGTGCTGACAATCTCTCACTCTTTGGCCTTTCCCGGCATCAGCGCCACTTCATCTTCAGTGTCTTCAATGCCTCGGAATGCGTGCGTTGGGAACGGTAAACTAGCCTAGTGCTAGGTTAATGATTCACATGCTATTTAATCCTTGACTGAGCAGACAAATGTCTGCGCCATGACGGTGTTAGGCTACCCGGGGCGGATGACGAGGCGATATCTAAGTAAAATCCTAAAGTGCACAACCCAGGACACAGCAGCTACAATGATCGGCGAACTTCTTGGTACGCCACTGGCGTTCTTGGCTTTGCTAAGACTCTGCCTAATGAGCACTTGTCAAGGCAGCCGTGCACATAGCTTTTCCTCATTGGCAGGTAGGAAGCCCGATATGGTATGACTCAGACATCTGGGAGGAAACAGGGCTCAACACTTATACAGTACTCGACTCCACAAAAATGGTTTACCGGTAGAAACACCAAGATCCTCGAGACAGAGTTTGGCCGTCAGGCGTCGTTCGATGATTTCATCTTGCCATCTTAGGATGCCGGATTACCGACAGCAAATTCCAGCTTCCATCTCAGTGCTTTCTATTTTCATGACCTCCGCTATTGGGGAATACTTCTTACCACCGCTTGATGAAATTTCTTTCTCAAAAAATCAGATGGTTCAATGCTGAGCCGATCGCGCGAAGTTATTTCGCTAAGCCTCTAACTTGAAGATCGTATTACGAATCATGACATTCGACTCTAACAAGCACGACCACGATACTCTACACAAGTTAAGTGATGTCTCACCTTAGAAGTGATGCCCATGTCGGAACGGATAACCTGACTAGCCCCGGAAAGATGGCTGGGGTACAGCATACTGGTTCCAATAGGGTTGCGAGCACGGAGCAATGTCCGTTCCTGTCAGGGAATGATACGGGGAATTGAAGTCTGTGGATGTATCATCATGATGCTTGGATTCGCCACCCCGAGAGAACCCTGCAGACACCATAATAGGACATGACAGCATATTTTTGATGCATCTTTGATCTTTAAGGTGTATCACACTGTCGACGTGCTACTTTGACGATTTCCTCTTCGCCTACTATGTACAACCCATTGACTTTTGCTGTGTACGAAGATCCCACGCAGCATGTAAAGAAAATGCTTTCTTCATTGTTGAACCTAGGTGGGTGCAAACGTACTACCGCTCGTCTCTCCGGATCGCAATGAATTTCCCCTGCGGCCTCACATGATCAACAGTGTGGCAGCTAGAAATGGACATGATGTCTGTGATTTGGCGACATGACTGAAAACTTGGCTATACCTACGGTACAGCTCTTGGAAGCATAAATCCAGATCGTCACAGATTGATTTCCAATCTCACGAAGACTGAACACTTGGTATGACATGCAACTTACTGTATTCTACCTATGCTAGCTTGTGTTATCCTCGCCATTGCCTATGGTAAGGCATGTGGAAGACACCCAAGAGTGTATTCGCATGTCAAAGCTAACGACATGTAGTTTGTTTGTAGGCTCGGCGGTTGATATAATGCCGCAAACACGCGCTATGGCTCTAGCATCGGGCGGTGGCGCCTTGTCTCTTCTGGGCAGCGGCTTGGTGCCTTGGTGCCGCCGTCTCTATACCAACTTCAGCTCTAGACCCTCTCTTGTGTTTTGCATCTCTGTTTTGCATCTCCTTGGACTGAAATGCGATGTTGTGGTTCTTGTCTTTTGGAACTTCCGGATGCTTTCCCGCAAGTAAGTATGGGGGGG